TTTGGGAGATCGCTGCAAGTCTGAAATATTCTAGAAAATTATTCGTCGGTGAAAAATTGACTAAGCGTATACTCAGACAAAATCTTTATACAAAGAACATAAAAGTCCACAGAAAATAAAAAACAAATATGTCTCCTTGAAATATACAAACACTTTTTTTTTTTTATATTTGTTAAAATGTCTGAAAATACTTCTAGTCAAGCTTTCCGGCGAATAATTTTCTAAAACATTTTAACCTTTTAAATTTTAAAGACCTCCCAAATGCCCAGCCTTATAAGCTCATTGGCGTCAGTTATTATCAACTCTATACAGTTCATTTAGCAAATACGCTCGATGTTTTAATCAGACATTTTGCAAGTATATCCAAAATGTATGTATGTACGTTATTACATTAAAATACTCACTTTTAACCTCAACACGGCCCATGTTTGCACTTTCGCCACCAGCTAAACGCACCTCATAGCCCAAATGTTTACAATTATCTTCATCCTTACGATTACCACAATTGTTAATGCCGTTGCATACCTGAAACATAAAACGATATAATAAAATTGTAGCAACTTAGCATCGTCATTACTCACCTCAAAGGACTTCACACATTTTCCATTTCCACAATCAAACTGGCAATCCACATCCTGGCCTGCTCTCAAATCTATCTCAGGTCGAACACTAAAAGGAGTTGTTGACTCCGCATATGGATTTGGTGGATTTGCATCCGTCAAATCAAAATTATTCGTAGTTGTAGGCACAGTACGCAGCGTAACGGGTGTTGCGAATGGATTTGGCATTTCAGGATGTCGCTCATGGAATGCTCTATTGTGATTGTGGTTGTGGCGATGAGGACTTGACTGATCAACCTCATGAAAGGGATTTAATAAATTTGGATGTGTACGGTGGAATTCCCGATTTTGACCGCGATTATGCCAATTAGGATTATTTTTAGATTCTTGCTTTGTATTTTTCGAATAAATATCTGTACGTGACGCGTGTACGCTGTTTTCAGTTGGGTTTGTGATCAAACTATGCTGTTCACCTGCAAGTATAAGTTCAACCTCCTTTTCATTTTCAGCACCAACTTTGGATTTGTTGGTAGTTGTATGAGGTAATGTATTTACAACAGAATGCACAGATGGCTGTTCCGCTGTAAGCTTCATTATATGCGACTCAGCCTTTTCAGCGCTATCCTCCGAAATCGTGCCACTTCGATTGAAGTAGGGACGCAAAAGTAAGCGTAAGGCATCAGCCATTGGCAGATTTTCGGCGCTCTGATAGACTTGCGGGTCAAGAGATTGTGGCGGACTTGCGTGTGCTACATTCGANTGGCGGACTTGCGTGTGCTACATTCGAATAGGAACCACTGTAGTGGGGATCTTTAGAGAACATTGCTACAGTTGTATTCTCTAGAAAGGGATGTACTTGCTTTAAACGTGTTGTGCCGGCAGAATGAGTTTTCGTGACGGCGGTAGGTACGGTTGGAGGTTGAAGGTAATTTGCAGGAGTACTGGTCAAAATTTCAGTTTGATATAAATTTGTGTTCGAAGGTGAAGACAGTAAATGGGGTTTGCCGTCAACATTCGTACTAAAACCACGTATGGGTTCAAATGAATCTACTAACGATCTGCCAGTGGGACGTGGCGGCGGCGAAGACTGCGTGGGATTGACGCGTGCCGGTGGTGAATTTTGATTTCGAATTGAAACGATGGAGTAAGGAGTTTGGGCAGTTGTGGGCGGTGGTGGTGGTGGTTGCAAGCCACCATAAAGATTAGAGGCTTCAATGGCATTTTGAGACAGTGTTGTAGGCGGATTATATGCGCGTCTCGATGGGGGTGTAACATGAGTT